CGTTTTTCCTCATCGGACGCATGACTGATGGATAATGCTCATCACGTTGGGGTAAGGATAGACCTTCTCTACTGTCATGTGGTTGAATTTGCCTTCTCACAAGTTTTTTTTTTTTTTTTTTGAGACAAGTCTCCCACTCGTCGGCCCCAGGCGAGGCAGTGTGCGATCTCGGCTCACTGCAACCTCCGCCTCTCGCGGGCTGTTAAAGCCCTGCCTCAGCTCCCCGAGTAGCGGGACCACAGTGTCACGCCACGCTCAGCTAATTTTTTGGTTTGTAGAGACAGAGTTTCTCCATTGTTGGCAGGGCTAGTCTTTGAACTCCTGACCTCAAGGATCTGGCTCCGTCTCAACCTCCCAAAGTGCCAGGATTATGTGCATAAGCCCACTTGGCCCTGGGCTCCAAAATTATATTTAACCTTAATCCCGCTGTGGTGTTTTAAGAGTAGGGTTTTTTGAGATTGTGATTAACTCATGAAGGCTCAGTCCTGCATTGAATGGACTAACGCCCTTATAAAAAGGGCTTCAGGAGATAGTTCACCTGATTGCTCCTTCCCACCGTCCACCGGGTGATGGACACAGCATTTTCCCTTCAGGAGAGGGCAGTGGACAAAGTCTTCTGATCTTTGATAGAAGAGGACTTGGGGCTCCTCACCAGACGACCGAAACGTGGCCGAGTGTCCTCTGATCTTGCACTTTTTCTTCAGCCTGTGCCGCGTGACTGTGACGTAATAAAGTTGTTGTAGAAATGACCAAGGCTTACAGGTATTTTCTGTTATGGCCTGCACAAAAAGGGATGAGCTGTAATTGTGCTACCCATAGGTGACGGTGCTTGCGTTAATTTATTTATATACCTCTGAAAATGTGCAAGCAGATTTCGTATATCTGTTTTTTTTGTTTTGTTTTTGGTATACTTGTGTTGAGGTGTTGGATAGTTTTTTTTTTTTTATTTTTTTTTTTTTTTTTTTTCTTTTTTTTTCTGGTGTTATTTGTTTCGGTACGCATGGCAGGAAAAGCTTCTATTATTTTTATCGGCTGTTGAGTCAAAGTATTTAAAGGGCAAGGTGCATGGTTTAGGAAGATAAGAGGCTGATTCTGTTTTATGAGATGAGCCTCAGTTTCTTAGTGAATGTATATTGTCGTCGTTTTCTCTTCTTTTCTTTGTCGTTCTTTGCTGGTGGTCTATGCCTTTTTTAATCCAGCACTTTGGATTGATTGGTGCCTGAGTGTGGTTTTTTTTATTCCTATCTCTATTGTGTCAGGATGGATTGATTTATACAGTCGCTGTTTAACTAACGGTGAAGTATTCCTTCTTGGTTTCTTTGTTTATTTATATAATTACTAAAATAAAGTATGCTGGTCATTTTTTTTTTTTTGTTTTTGGTGTTTGTTTTTTTTTTTTTTTTTTTTCGGGTGCCCAGTAGTCCCAGCACTGGGGAGGCTGAGGCAGCTGGGAGAATGGCCGTGAACCCGAAGGCAGAGCTTCGGCAGTTTGAGGCCGAGGATCGTGCCACTGCACCCAGCCCGTGGGATGACAGAGGCAAGATCCGTCTAAAAAAAAAACAAAAAAAGAAAGAAGAAATTTGAAGAGTGATCTATGAATCCCAAGAAAGCTGGGGCTAAAGATACAAAAAGTAAGATGAAGTCTTAGAGTCCAAAAATAAGGAAGTATTGTATTGGGAATCTGGGATAGAAGGGACCGTATTACCTGGGTACGAGAAGGTGGGTAAGAAAGCGCGGCGCGTGGCTCGGCCTGTAATCCAGACTTTTGCCGAGGCCGAGACGGAGGATCCACGGACGGTCAGGAGATCGAGACATGGCCTGGGCTAACGACGGGGAAACCCCGTCTCTACTAAAATACGCCAAAATACTAGCGTCCGGCGAGGGGGGGGGGTGTGGGGTGGGGGACAAAGTGGTAAAGAACTAGGCTGAATTGTGTCTGTGCCTGAGGGCTTTGTGGGAGGCAGAATTTAACAGTGATGAACTAGAATACTTAGAGGAAAAAATTTCTAAGCAAAACGTGAAGGGGGCTGCATGGCTTCTCCTAACTGCGTAGAGTAAAATGCAAGAAGAGAGAAATGAGTTAAAGAGAGAATCTATAATCAAAAGAGAAGCAGAACGTAAAGGTTTGGAAGAGTCTCAGCTTGGCCACGTGTTTAGGGGAGAAAACCAAGGGTGCGGCCCAGTGACCATCTGATAAGATTCGTGGGGATAGAGGGAGTCAGGTGCGATTCGTTAAGACAACGGAAGAAGGGCCCTGACAGCATCTCAAAGATCTTCCAGACTGCCGTGGCCATCACAGGCTCAGAGTTCTAGGGCTTTGAGGGCAGAATGGAGTCAAGGGAGGAACCCCGGGCTCTGGAGGGTCCCTGGGTGCCTATAGGACCTTGGGCCTCCATGCCTAGTACTGCCTCAAGTCTCTGCTCCCTGTATTCCAGTGTAGCACTCCTCAGCTGCCTCAGCTATGGCTCACATGGGCCCAGGTGTGGCTCAGGCTGCCCCTCCAGAGGCACAAGCAATAAACCTTGGCAGCATCCTCTGCAGGCACACACAGAGCATGTGCTATGGAGATATGGCCTAGTAGAGTCATGGGGTCAGGGCCCCCTCAACCACAGGCCAGTAGAAACACCGCTGTGCAACTCCAGCCTGGGACAGCCAAAGGCATGGGACTGCAATGCTTGGGAGCCACAGCCAGCAAAGCCATGGGGGCAGGACCACCTGGAGACTTGGGGGCCCAACGCCCACCCTAGTGTATCTGAAAGGTGGGATGTGGAGTGAAAGGAGATGATGCTCAAGTTTCAAGATTTGATTTTGCTTGCCTTTTTCAACGTTGGATTTACTTGGGATCTATTATCCCTTTTTTCATTCCTAGTGCTCCCTTTTGGAATGGAAATACCCATCCTATGTCTGTCCTACCATGATATTTTGGAAGCATGTAACTTGTTTGATTTCGTAGGTTTACAGCCAGAGAGCAATTTGCCTCAAGATGAATATTACCTCGGGTCTCACTCATATCTGATGTAGACAATGTTTAGATAAGACTTTGGACTTTGATTTTAAAGTTGATGCTGGAATGAGTTAAGACTTTTGGAGTTACTGGGATGGAATGTATATATTTTTAATGTGATAAGATCACAAATTTTGGGGGACTAGGAGTAGAATGCTATGATTTGAACATATCCCCTAGAAATTCATGTTAAAACGTAATCCCATGGTGGTATTAAGAGGCAGGGCTTTTGGGAAGTGATTAAGCTATGCAGGCTCTGTCCTCATGAATGAATTAATACCCTGTCAAAAAGGCTTCAGGGACAGTTCACCCTGTATTGCTCTTCCACTATCCTCCATGCGAGGACCCCAGCATTCGTCCCCTCTGGAGGAGGCCGCCACAACGCACCATCTTGGACGCAGAGATAGGGTCCCTCACCAGACAACGTATTTGCTGCCACCTCGATCTTGAACTTCCCAGCCTCCAGAACTGTGAGAAAATAAGTTTCTCTTCTTTATAAATTACTCAGTTTCAGGTGTTTTCTTATAGCAGCACAAATGAACTAAGACACTCAGTCCACTGATTCAAGTGCCGATATCTTCTGAGAACGCCCTCACAGACTGTCCTAGGCTGTGATTGCACTGCTATAAGGAAAAGCCTGCAACTGGATAATTTATAAGAAAAGAGATTTAATTGGCTTATGTTTCTGCAGGCTATATAGGAAGCATAGCAGCAACTGCTTCTGGGGAGGCCTCTGGAAGCTTCCAATCATGGCAGAAAGCAAAGGGGGAGCAGGCATGTCACATGGCAAAAGCATGAGCAAAAGAGAGGTGGGGGAGGTGCCACACACTTTTAAACAACAAGATCTTGTGACTCACCATCTCGAGGACATCACCAAGCCATGTGGCATCTGCCCCTGTGATCCAGTCACCTCCCACCAGGCTCCACCTCCAGCATGAAGGATTACAATTCAGCATGAGATTTGGGTGGGGGGTGGAGGGTGAATATCCAAACTGTATTACAGACACACCCAGAAATAATGCTTTTCTAACTATCTGGGTATCACTTAATCTAGTCAAGTTGACACCCAAAATTAGCCATCACATCTTGCAAAGCATTATTTCTGGGTATCTGTGAGGGTAGATTTGAAAGAGATTGTCGTTTGAATCCATGGACTGAATAAGGAAGATCTACCCTCACCTGATGTGGGTGGGCACCATCCAATAGGTTGAGGGCCTAGAGAGAGAAAAAAAGGCAGGGAATGACAGATTCTCCTTCTCTCCAGAGCTAGGAAACCCATCTTCTCCTGTCTGTGGGCATCGGAACTCCGGGTTCTCCAGCCACTGCACCCTGGGACTCATACCAGTAGCTACTCCACCACCACCAGTTTTCAGGCCTTTGGCCTCAGACTGAGAGTTACACAATCTGCTCCCCTGGTTCTGAGACCTCTGGGCTTAGACTGAGCCCCGCACCAGCTTCTCTAGGTCTCCAGCTTGCAGATAGCCTGTCGTGAGACTTCTCAGCCTACATAATCAGGTGAGCCAATTCCCCTCGTAAATCCTCTCATGTCTGTATGTATATATCCTGTGGTTCTGGTTCTCTGGAGAACGCGGACTAAAACCTGGGTTTACAAGTTTAGAGAAATAGCCAACTGCAGCCCCTGTCCCACAGCTGGTCTTGGCCACGGCTGACATGACCCCCGTTCTTCTCCGACTCACGCTTGTTTCCCTCCCTGTCAGTGGGCACCTCTGCTGGTCTCTGTGGCCTACCCAGTGGGCCAACTGGGACCCTCCTCAGTGAGGGGTCTGAGGCCCCGGTCACCATCCCTGCTCAGGCCAGGGCTGCTGTACTTGTCCACTCACCAATAAAACAGTTGAGGCAACACCGAGTCCCCCAAGTCCCACCACTTGGATCACCAGGCACCAAATTTATCCTTCCCTGTCCCCAAGGGGAGTAGCAGTTCTACTGCCTCCTAATGGCCATAGCCCACCTCCCTCCCTGTTTGGGGGCTCCTTGTCATGACTGTTGGTCTCCAGGGACAAAAACTCCAAAGCGACAAGGCATCAGCTGTAGCCTGAAGTTCAGTGGGTCTCCCATCTGTCCACTGGTGGAGTGGTCCCCTGTGGAAACCACGACCCCTGACTGGCAGCCTGGAGTGGAGGGAACAACATGCACAAAACCCCCAGCAGGTCGCTGGCAGTGGTGGTACGGGGGACGCTGCTGCTTCTGCCCCTTGATTCCCAGGCCTCTTGGGGACATGGCACGCCATGGTGGCTGTTGAGTTGGAGGGATTACCGAGTTCCACAATGTGACACCCCATCCTTGAACAGTATCACCCCCACGCTGGGGCCTTCATGGAACTCTGAAAAGGCTGCTCCCCTGCTCTGTGGTGCTGGCTGCGTCTGAGTGGTATGGGCCGTGATAGGACCAGCAGATGCCATGGCCACATGCCATGTGCCATGGCTGCACCTCCTCCCTGTGTTGTAAAGTGGGACCCTTGGTCCAAGGGACTGCTATGCAGGCCTTGTTTGGTGGATCAACACTTAATAAGTCCTAGGGGTCAGCCTGGGTTATGTGTCAATTCTAGTGGAGTTGAATTGCTGCCATCAATGGGATGGATGCTTCTGTTGCCTGGTCAGCTTTCTCTATGGATAGTGCCTAGTGGGGGCTCCTCAGCGGCCCACATTGCAGACAAGTTGGGCATTTGTGGCAGCAGTGGCTAGACCAGCCTTGGTGGGTGGAGCTGTGCTGCTGGTTCCATGGTCAGCCTCGCTTTCTACCACCAAAGCTACTCCATGCATGCACCCAGAGGGCCAGCACTCAGGTGGCCAGGACAGAGGCTGGCTGAAGTCAAGGGCTACGGCCATTCTGTCTAACTGGTTGCTTAGTGGCTCCCTGGTGGATCCTCTCTGTTGGGAATGAACACGTGATACTGAGCTCTTCACCTCTCATGACCACACCCGTGGGTTCATTCATGTGCCTCCTCTCCCGGGGTGGTGGGCAGAATGATGATGTCCCCCAAAATGTGTCCAGGGCTTTTTAAAAATAGGGATGGAATAGAACTCATCCACCCACTAATGGCTGCTTAACATGTACCCCATTCCATATCCCTCTGCTCCAGCCAATACAGCACAGCTGGCACAGCAACAATCATTGGGCTACTGCTTGGTGGAGTTTGGGATTAGCTGTACCTATACACAGGGGCTTATTAGGGGAGATTGGCTCCTGTGATTATGGAGGTTGGAAAGTATCCCCATCTGCCATCTGCAAGCTGGAGACCCAGGAGAGCTGATGGTGTAAGTTCCAGTCTGAGTGTGAAGGCAGAAGACTGATATCCCAGCTCAAAGACAAGCATCTCTTTGAGCTGGGATATCAGCCATGTTGAAATTTGGTCCCCAGTGCTGGAGGTGGTGTCTAATGGGGGTGTTTGGGTTGTGAGGGCAGATCCCTCACGGATGGCTTGGTGCCATCCTCATGGTAGTGAGTGAGTTCTCACTCTGAGTTCCCCTGAGAGCTGGTTGTTGAAAACAGCCTGGCAGTCCCCTGTTCACTTGTTTCCTCTCACCATGTGATCTCTGCACACACTGGCTCCCCTTGATCTCCTGCCATGAGTGGAAGCAGCCTGAGGCCCTCACCAGCAGCAGATGCAGGTGTCACATTTCTTGCACAGCCTGCAGAACTGTGAGCCAAATAAACCTCTTTTCTTTATCAATTACCCAGTCTCCAATATTCCTTTATAGCAACAAATACAGACTAAGACGGGTAGGGAGAGCGAATTTTCTCTTACTTAATCTTTTTGTTTTAGTCAGACCTTCAACTGATTGGATGAGGCCCACCTTCACCAGAGAGAGTGACCTGCTTTTCTCTGTCCACAGATTCACATGCTAAGCATATCCAGAAACACCTTGCAGACACACCCAGAATAATGTTTAACCAAATATCTGGGCACCCCATGGCCCAGTGAAGTGGACACATAAAGTGGACACATAAAATCTCCCATCACAAGTTGACAGTAGTCTGTTAGCATCCTCCGGGAAATGGGGGAGATGATGGGAATCACCTCACCTACAACCCTCAAGTCTTCCAAAGGGGCCCACATCTCTGCCATTCCCCACCAATGAGATTTTCTTTTTGGTGTATTGCCTTGGCTAAGGCAGTGGGCAGTTTCGGAGGCTTCTACTCAGTAACACTAGGATAGTTTTTACCCTACAGGACAATGAGCCTACATGAGGATCCAGCCAACTACCAAGATTGTCTGAGTGTACATTTAGGGTCTGGGGGAATATGCAGCATTCTGGGGATGCAGAGGGCTGACTCAGTGTGAGCCAGATCTGGACCAGGATTGCACTTTGCTGGCCTCCATATGCCCTCCTCTAATGGGCCCATGATGGTGCCTTGACTCCAGCTGTCAGTGTCAACTTGGTCCCAGAGTCCCCCAGCCCTGGGCATTGGCCTTTTCCTAGTGCACAGTTACTTAAATACACCTTTGGTCCAGCAACCTATGAATTTAAACATTGAGTTATCTGCCCCTCTATGATAGATTGTATCTGTGACCCCAGTCTCTTGCCCTTTCCTGTGTCCAAGGCCAGCCACGACTTGCTGTCATAGGAATGTGCCCAGCCAAGATCAGTCAAGCAGAACCCAGACACATGAGCAGGAAAAACTGACTGTTGTGCGCCACGGAGACTGTGTAGATATGTGTTAATTTGCATTTCTCATTATGGCAGCACCCTCCTTCACAGCGCCTGCTTCTGTATTAGTCAGGATAGGCCAGGCTGTATTGTGGTAGCAATCAGAACCCCCAAACCCAGCTGCTGCCAAGAGAGCAGGCATTGGGGGCCCGAGTGATGGGGACTTGGTGCTGCTGGAGTAGCAAACTTGCTAAAATCACTCCTGGTGACCTGGCAGGCGGAATACAAGAAGGCTCAGCCAGGAGCCCAAGGGGCGAAGTGGAAAAACACCACATTGTGAGTTTTGTGATAGGTCCAGTAACATGAGACGGAGACCAGCTTGAGAAAGAAGGCCCAGCTTACAAGCAGAGATGAAAGTGAACAGAGAGATGGATCCAGAAATTCAGAGCACTGCAAAGGCAGAAAAGCCAATTGCTCCAAGCGTTAGGATTTTAACAAGCTTTGGGAGACAAAGGCCCAATAAAATGCCTGAGTTGGACCCATCAACAGAAGACAAAGATGGGATTAAGGCCCATTCAAGCCTGAGAGCCTTCTGACAGCGGCCATTGAGCTGACAGAGAGGAATGAGAGCAAATACATCCTGAAACTTCAGTTTTCTGTGTGCATTAGCCATGGCTTACTGTGGTCTGAATATTTGTGTCCCTCCAAAATTCATGTTGAAACCTAGTCCCCAACGCAACAGTAGTAAGAGGTGGGGCCTTTGGAAGGCGACGAGGCCATGGGGGCTCCACCCTCATGGGCAGGATCAGTGCCTTATAAAAGCGTGAGGAATGAGTTTAGTGCCTGTATGCACTTTCACTTTCTGCCATGTGAGGACGCGACAAGAAGGTCCTCTCCAGACACCTCCTGCAGCGCAGGATTCCCAGCCTCCAGACTGTGAGCCATCCATTTCTATGATTTACAAATGACCTATTCTAGGGTGTTTTGTTAGAGCAGCACACACAGGCTAAGACAGACATTGGTACCAGGAAGTGGGGCTGTTGCTGTAACAACCACCTGAAAATGTGGTGGCAGAGCTGGAACCGGGTCACGGGAGAGGCTGGAACCATTTTGAAGGGCACGCTGGAAAAGTGCACATTTCTGTGAACGGAGGTGGTGCGAAGGTGACTCCCGTGCAGGCCGAGGCGGGCAGGGCTGTAGAGAGAGCCTCTGGGTTGGTAGCGATGACCTCAGTGGTCGTGATCAGAATGCTGGTGGAGATCCATGCCGTCAAAGCCATTCTCACGCGGTCTTAGACAGACATGAGAACTGTCTTATTGGAAACTGCAGGGGGGCCGGCCCTTTTACGAAGTGGCAGGGAACCTGGTCGAATTGTGTCCGTGCCCTGGGGCTTTGTGGGAGGCAGAAGTTAGAAGCGATGAACTAGAATATTTGTTGGAAGAAATCTCTAAGCAGAGCACTCTGGACGCTGCATGGCTTCTGTTGACTGCTTATAGCAGAAGGCGAGGAAAGAGAAATGAGTTAAAGACATTGATAATAGAAAGGAAACAGAACTTAAAGACTTGAAAACTCTTAGCCTGCCCATGTCAAGAATAAGAAAGCGTGTTCAGGAGAGAATAGCAAGGGTGTGGCCAAACATATTTGGATAAGGAGATTAGAATGGGTAGAAGTAAACCAGAAGCTGCTCATCAAGACAATGGGAGAATGACCCCCAAGCATCTCCGAGACCTTCCAGGCTGTCATGCCCATCACAGGCTCAGAGTGCCCAGGCCTTGAAGGCAGAATGGCTTCAAAGGAAGAGCCCAGGGCCTCCATGAGACCTTGGGGTATACTGCCCAGCCTTGCCTCAATCTCTGTTCCTCCCTGCAAGCTGGTGCATCACTCCTGGCCCACCCCCGTGGAGGC